TGATTGAAAGTGAACAATCTCAAAGATCACTTCTATGACTTTGAAATCTCGGTCCGATTTTCTGGCCATGCACTCCTTGATAGCCTGTGAATTGATTGAATAAATGAAACGAAAATCCAATAGCATAACTAAAAGGAAGAGTGCATAACGAGAAAACGAGAGGCTGAATGTTGCTGCCAAAGATTAGGGTAAAGGAAAATCCATAATCAAATTCCAAATAAATATCTTTAGATATATCTATAAAGATGAGATTCGCTGATTTGGACGTCGATATTAGTCACCAGTTAACATCTGTGACAGAAGATCCACGAGAAAATAATCAACCATCACCAATATCAACCTTATGAATTAAACACTTTTCCCAAATGCAGGACTGCCCCAAAAACTCAGGCTCGCTACGCTCTCCATCTGAGAGTTCGTCCCCGTCCTCGTCCTCGGTGAGCTCCGAGCACGTAGAGAGCTGCCTGGTTTGTTTTAACCAAAGGCCGAAGCAGCTCCATAACATTTGTTTTCCGGCAAACAATCCACACCGTGATTTTCCATACTTTTCCCTTCTTTGTTTTTCCATCTTTCGTCTCACGCAACAAAATTTCATCAATTACGCAGGACCCGGTTTCTCACTTGCCTTGTAAAATAGCATTTTCTGTACATAAAACATCATGTAGCCCTGTGCTGCCCTCACAATGTTCTCATTAACTAGTGTGATCCAAGCATCATCGCACTTGTACCATTGATTACTCAATCGCAAGTAAGTCACGTAATGGCCTGCATCGAGCTTGCCTGTGTGAGTGACGACAGCAAACAACTCAAAATCAGAACACAAGTCATTTGATGCATCTGGCTCGTCCCCATCAAAGGGCAAAATCCTATTTCCAAATCGGCTTCTCAAGATGGAAGATGAGAGATAAGGAGCCATGTCAAGTGAAAACGGGAACTGCAAATAACGGTCAACCTTCCTTGACATTTTCCTCACCGAAGAATGTTCAAATCGCTTGATATGGAAGCACAAAACCAAAGGAAGCTTTCTTATGGACATTTGCTTGAGAGACTCCTGCCTCACCTGACACTGCTGGCAAAAAAATTTCTGGTCAGAGCCCAATCTCTCAGGTCTTGTAAAACGGTCCAAGCATCCCATGAGGGTGGATACTCCACAGTTTTGGCTGGAATTCATGCAATCTGCCTCGCCATTGCAAGAATGATTTGACTTCGTGGACCCAGTCTTTGCAGAACCTCCTTGGTTAGGTTCCAAATCCAGTGAGATGTCCACACATGGGTCATATGTTGTAGACGTAAAACCACAGGCCATACACATGACATCAGATCGCAAGATACCAGAAAAAACTCTATGAGCAACACAACAATCTCCATTGCCTGCACTACAAAAGAAATGAAAACTTATCAGAATGACATCCCTTTCAATAAGTACATGCAAAATACAGGTGAAGATCCACGTCAAGACGCATATCAAAAAAAATTCAATGTCTGGATACACTAGAAAGAATGCCTTGGAATCCATCTCTATCTGACAAACATTAACAATACAAATGCACTGAAAGCTTTACTGATAATGTGTACAGCCTCTACATCCTATACGTCCCAGATCAGTCAGCTATCCTAAATGTCCCAGATTAGTCAACAAAATTTGGAAAATGCACCTCCTCGGAACCCCTTACTTCCTAAGTAGTGATAATGAAAAACTATATTAACAAGCAACATGAGGTCATAACAAGCAATTAGCGGCAACAGACAAGAGGGAAGTTGGACAGCAAGAGAAAATGTCCAGTATCCAAGACGATAAGAAAACGTAGTTAAGTCAGACAATAACCTATGCCAAGAAGTAGGTAGAAATCAACAAGATGGCTGATGATGCAAGAAAAGATTGAATTGGAGCTCCCACAAGAACTGATGAGAAAACTTTTTTCTGGCTGCCAACCTAAAAGAATCTTCCGATTTTCTGGGTTTGGGATCCTTGTTATAATTAGACCCTAAACATGGCAAAAAGGTTGAGTTAATTGAGGATTATGAAATACGAGAACTCCCAAGCTAGATAAACCCAAGACAGCCAAATGAAAGTTGACTTACTGGGTGAAGCGGATAACGCCATCAGGCCAGCAGGTAGAGGTTGAAAATTAGCCCTAAATCTTTGAGCACTTGTCAACTCCTAGGGCAACAAGCAAGATACCTAAACCCACACCCTGCATTTTCATGTTAAAGTCACCTTAGTTTAAAGAAAACTATAAAAAAAATGTAGATGATGGGGAAGTCAACTGCTCCTTAGGAACTCTTAAGTGAGTTGTCTTGCAACATTGCCATAGCACCTAATTTTTCACTCCATCTTAAAAGTACATGATCAGCTGATTTTCTGATGTAAGGGTAAAGTATTACGGGAAGCTCTCTTAAGCCATCAATGGGTTCACACCTCTAGTTTACCGCTATGCGGCCATTTGTAAATTAAAGACGCGATATTAATATTAAATTCTACGCTGGCTAACGGAAAGCGATTACGATTTATGAAATGTACTAACCCAAGGCGAACAACTCCCTAGCTAGTAAAACTAGATAATTCAATACAAAAATTTTTTTTTTTTTTTTTCAAATCACCAATTTATATCACTCTATGCTCTATGACTGAGACTGGATTCTATCTACAAATTTCAATATTAGATGAACTTCAAAAGCTCTCAGAAACTAATCAACTTGTACAAAATCGAATGCGGTTTCAACTATAGGAGCTTCCAGAAAGAAATTAAAGACACAGGGGCCTACTGATTCAAATTCCATACATGCATTCAGAAACAATACACATTCAAATTTGGTTCTTTAGTAATTGTATGTTATGATATCCCCATGAATTTCAAGTAACATGCACATAAAACACAACATGAAGATTAACAGATAAAAGTTTCGGATTAAGAAAGAATTAACCTTGGCTCTCGGGTTTCCGCTGATCCTTATCCACCTTCTCATGAATCCCATCAAGCATAGAAATGAAGAACTCATGCGCGTCCTGCTGCTCATAACTCGCCAAATTCGCAGCGTACTGCCACCAACTACGGCATTACCACAACAACAAATCAGCAAAAACCCGAAAAATCAAACAATATTTTCGCCATCGCTGCATCCCTGACCACCTACATTGTGATTAAAATGCGATTTGTACAGAGTACAAACCTGTGCAAGAACTTTGCGGGGCTATAAGGCGTCCGATCCCCTGAAAAAACCGCCGAAAACGTGGCGTCCATGTCGCAGGCCAAGCACACGCGCGCAGCACCCTTGTTCCCGCCACTTTCAATATTATTGGCGGTGACTTTCTTCCCCGCGTTCTCGGCATTGCTCTTCTTCTGGCAGAAGTAGCGGTTGTGCCGATCGCTGAGGAAGTAGTTCCGCAGCGGCGGCGTGTGGAGCAATGCCTGCAGAACCGAGTTCATAAAGCACGTGTTTCCCAGATTGTTGAGCCCGCGCAATCCCCAAGGCAAAGCTGAAACGTCGCCGTTTAGAGGACTGGAATTCCTTCCCACCAAGTATTGCTCTCTCAGATCAGGCATCCACGGCTTGTAATCGATACGGCGTCGCTTCCGGAGATTCTCCGGCGCGTACTTCTGGACAGCTGACGCGGCGGAGGATGCTAGCGTCGAAGCGGCGGTCTGAGCCAAGACCACTGCAGCGTCGAAGTCGCGATCATAGACTTGGTCCCTACACGCGCAGCAGAAGAGCTCGGCTCGGTCCACGTCGACGGCGATCTCGTGACCGGGACGCATCGAGAGGGCGTGAGCCGCCGCGTGGGATGGTCCGGATGGCACGTGACAGTGGACGGCAGCGCACGTGATGCACGCATAGAGTCTGGGACGCGCGGACTCCCCGCACGCGCCACAGCGCGGGACTTCCTTGGGATCGCGGCGGATGGAGGCGCAGCCACCGGGCGGTTTGACCCGGAGACAGTCCTGTAAGGCGCGGAAGGGCTTGGAGCCGTTGTTGGAGAGGAACTCGATTAGGTGGGGACAGGGATGGGGCAAAATCTGGCCGTTGATCTGTTGGCGGGGATGAGTGATCTTGGTCGTCGACGACATGGACGGTGATGATGGTGGCGGTGGCGGGGATTGGGGTGAAAATGGTGGAAACCCTACGCTTAAAGGACCCAAGGTTCATGGATGGGGGGAGAGATCAACGGCTGAGATTAAAGGGAATAGGAGTGAGAAACCATGGAGTGTGATCAGTACCGTGGTGGCAGTTCAGCTTCGTAGGGGTTAAGAATTGGTCCCAAAAAGTCAGTAACTTCAAGTTCGAATCATTGAATCATTTCATGTGACAATGAACATCAAGTTAGAGTGCATTTTCGATAATCATCTTAAATTGTTGGTTTATGCTCACCGTCACATCGACATCGTTTTTGAGAAGAAAAAAAATATATCAACATTATTCTAAAAGTTCTCGTCTAGAATCTTCTAAGCCTCGCTTAGACGCTAGACGGCTAACCATCGTCTTCATTAGCCTCTCAACATTTGGAAAATAAGAAATACGTCTAAACTTGCACTAGACGGCTGGTCACCGCCCAAATCATTTTGTTGGCTCACAGCCATGGGATTGGACTGTAAAGTTGTAAACCAATGGATTGCTTTGGACTTCGCCCATTAGTTCATGTTTCTATTTGCCTATACAAATTTAATCCCAAATCATTACTACAAATCATGTTGTTTTCCTTTTCTAGCAAACAATTGAATCTATCTATCTATCTATCCCTAGAGAGTAATTATAACCCTTGAGAAGAATCCTTGTGTCAATACGGAGGACCACGTTATCACTACTCCGCCTATGAAAGTACAAATGACATGGCCCTCCGGGTACTGTATCATTTCCTGCAGGCGAAGCGGGTCGATGACAGGGATGCTAGAGAGAACATATTTTGGTCAAAATACAAACAAATGACGAGCATGAACGTCCTTCACATAGGCGTATTCTGTGGTGCATTTTTCGTAGCTTGGTTTGAAAGATGGATAGAGTAGTAGTCAGATAACTCATCGTAGATGGAATAGTCGGTTTTTTAATTCAAATACAGGACTCTGTAGGAAACGAAAGAGAAAGAATAAACCGTAGGTTGCGGAAAGAGGTATCTCTGATTTGCAAGGTAATCTGGTGGCTCAACATCACTAGACTACTGACCGTTTAGAATCCACAACAGCAGCTATTCGATTCAGGCTGATGGAACAATGATGTTCATAAATTTCCTTTTAGCAAACGCCAACCACCACTTATTGGGAGTCCCGTTCGGTCTATAAGCAACGCTCAATAATCTACCGCTTGCTTCCTCCCTTATCTGCTTCAAATAATTCCTCAGCAATTCTGCAGTCATTCAATACTTTGAAAAATAAGAGAGTGTATATATGCATAAGAGTGAAACTGAAGATCGAAAGATGAAAAACATACGTTCGTAACTAACAATTCAAGTTCAGTTTGTAGCAAAACATTTGAAATTCTAACGAAAACAATCCCTGTGGAGGGTCTGTTTCTTGATTTACATGGAATTGATAGTCTAGCAACAAGTCCGACGATTCAAGACCATCTATGAAAGAAATAAAGGCATACTCCGTAACCTGGGAAGCATGCCGAGAAATATAAAGGCACGTCAAGGTCATATACTCAGAAAGTCAAAAATCAACCATAACTGAAAACAAACAAGGCAAGTCAAGCATGCAAACAAAGGTAGGGCTCCTTGTGTTGTGAGAGTTCACGAGAACTAGAGTGATAGCGTTTGTTCGAAATGTTAACTGCTGGAATATTTCAAATCATCTCGACATATATGTTCATCAATATCCATTAAGTTGGAACTTACAGAGAAGACATCAAGAGTACCTTGATCAAAAACCAAATCGTAGTTCCATTAATCCAGGGTTTGCGATTGAGAAACTAGAGTAGCTTATAATTTTAATCGGCTTTTTGAATAAGCATCTATTTTGGTAACAAAACCCTTATATAATTAAGCCGAAGTTCAATTAACATGTAAGAGTAAATATTATGAATCAGCTTTGCTGGCAACTAAATGTAAAAACAGATGAGAAAGAGCTTCACCTGCTTCCTGCTGGGACTGAGGAAGAGGGAAAAGTCCTGGGAAAGGGAAACTCGGCTCTCCAGGAACAGGAACTTTTTCTAGTCCCAAATTAATAATGGCCTTGGTTCCTTCAGCCAAAGTTCTGCAACCCTCAAGCCGCTTCAAAGCCACATTGATATAAAATGTCAAATAAATGAGGAGCTTATCGGCCGAGCTCTTAACATCAAAGTTCCTAAAGAAAACATTAGCGCGAAAGAATGAAATAGCTTCATCAACAATATCCGTTCTATCTGCGCACAAAAAGATTTCTCGTATCAACAACAAAAAATACGACCAAATCAAACAATTTCATCAGCTAATAATATGAATGTGTTTGTACACATATCAGACCTTGCTCTGAAACCGGGGCAGGTCCCTTTATGTGGCTTTTCAACGGCAACAGAGGGCACCCACAAGCTTTAGTGATACCTTCATCGTTGACGAAACTAGAGTGATAAACCTGTCACCATAGTTGTTGTCAAGTGTTGTTTTAACCAAATCTTTCACTAACAATTATTTCTCTCCTCAGTGTATCAAAGAAACATGTATCAAAACCGAAAAATTGACGATCAAGAGACAATGTTCCTCCGATAAACCGAAAATTTGACGATTACCAGCTAATGTTCCTCAACAATCTATCAAAATGATGAGCATAAAATTGAAAATTAGGAAAAAAGATTGAGGCTTTACCATCTTTCCGAGCCAAACGACGACGTATCACCACGGCTTTGATTCCAAACAACCAATTGGGTCCCTGAAAATGTTCAACGATGAAGACATCACACGATAATTCAGGTGAAAAAAATGATGAAAATTAAAAATTAAAAAACAGAAAAATAACAAGAAGCTTATGACCGCAATTGATAGAGAACATAAATTGTAATTGTCGTTACTCAATCATTGAAAAGGAATTCGGTTTCGTTATTTTCTCTTACTCTCTAGATTTTCTCAGCTACCAAACACCATTCTCTCTCTAGATTTTATCAATTAGCAGGAAGACAGAAAGAAAAATTAATATTAAAGGGGTAAATATTGGGCAGTGATTTCAGTACCTGATCGAATAATATCTCCAATGGGGGTTTGGAAATGGTGAAGCTTTCAGAGATTAGAGGAGGAGGGAGAGTTCTCGGAGAATTCGCATTTGGTGGGAGGAAGGAAGAAGGGAGTTGGATCCTGTAAGGTGATACTTCGCTTTCGAGAGTACGCTTCAACTCGCCATCTTAACCGTCGATCACATCTCCGCCCCACCTGGGGCTTTTTCTTTATTCAATCACAAACATGAGGCCCATTTGTTCACTTCTAACATATATTGGGTTGAACAACTAAAAAGGCCCAAATATGTAGATTGTGGTTGGGGCATAGATGTGTTTTCTTGGAGAAGGATTAGGATCCTTTCTTGGGCAAGGGTGAGGATCCTTCTGACCAAGCCTATCAGACAGTTGAAATTTTATTCAACGGTTACAAATAGAGGGCCTCTCTAAAAGTTATAATAATTGTAGCTGTTAGATAAAATTTCAACAATCCAATGGGCTTGGTCAAGAGGATCATCACCCTTTGCTCATGAGAGGATCCTGATCCCTTGGAGAATCCTTGTAATTTTGCACGACCAGTTAATTCGCTACACGATACGAAAATATTAGGTTTCGAATCAACTCGTTAACGATCGGATCGTTATCGGGTCACTTGTTAAAAGTTTTTTAACGAATTGGATGTTATTGGGTCATTCGTTAAAAACTCGATGAGATATCGTTTGCCATATCCATGCATTAGAATGGAAATTTCTTGTATAACCGTTAACTCCACATAAAATAACACGACTCATTAATGAATCAGATCACCTGTTAAGAACACATTAAGATAATAAGTTTGACATGATACAACTCATTAGGATAATATATACAACACAAAAACAACGCAAACACAAAAAAACTTCTTACAAAATTAGTTAAGAAAGATGTCATTGTGGGAATCGAATCCCCTCTAGATCCTTGTAAACTGAGCCTCTTGACCAAGGATCTAGACCATTGAAATTGGATCCAACGCCTATAATTATTATAATTTTTAGAAGGACTCCCTATTTGTAGCCGTTGAATCAAATTTTAACGATTCGGATCCCTTGGTCAGAAGGCTCAATTTATAAGAATTCGAAGGGGATCCGGTTCCGTCATTGTGAATATGTGATATCATTATCTGTTTTTTGTGTCCTTGTTTGCCTCAAATATTTCTATGTTGCCCTTGTTTTAAGTTTTTTTTTAATGAATATTTTATTTTTATGGATCGGTCCCTTATTTTAATGTTGTGATGTCCCTTGAAGACTTTTTGTCCTCCAAAATTATGTACAATAAAATTAAATTTAAAATGGTGATTAGGTGTCCACTACCAATCTTAGTCAAAACTATGCTTAAAAAAACAAAATTAATCCAACATTTGTCTCCTTTTTCGGTGAATGACATTTTCCCCCCAACTGTCAACAACCAAACCTGTCAAAAAGAGACACGATAGCTGAGATGGAAGATCAAGTGTTCGAGTTGGAGGAGGACCTAAGCCAGCCTAGACTTTTTTGGGTCATTTTTTATTACTTTTAAAGTGGGAGAAATTATTCAGTGTGCGAGAAAGACGATTAGATATATTAAGTATCATAATACAAGTGGTTGAAGATTTAAAAAGAAAAAACAAATCCAACCCCTTATGTTATAACACTTGATATACTGAATCATGTTTTCCGGCACACCAACAAATTTCTCCTAAAGTGGAAGGGAGCTCCCCACCTAATTGATTACCATTTAGATTAGTTTGGAACAGGGGCAGAGACTCCATATGTCATTATACAAGGGACACTTTCCTCTATGATGTATCGGCTTGTGTTCATAACAGATTAAAAGATCTCTCATAAAACACAAATTTCAAAATTTAGACTAATTTAACAATAAACAATACAGTATGAGCATCTTCACATTTTAGAAGAAAAATTTAAGTGTACTCGAAACACGGTGCTGACACCACATGTTATTATATAAGTAGAAAAAATATCTCCCACTTTAGAGGTGAGGAAAAGTATTTCCCATTTTTTTAATGACTATAAAACCCAAACCAATGAGCTGCCTGATTTAGAAATGAGACCCACATGACTTTGAGCCTTTCATTTCTTAGGAATGGGATCCTCTCCAGGTTCATTCCTTTTAATCTACCAAATTAAGGGATTCGTAATATTGAAAATTGATCAAACGGCTGAAGTTATTATAACTTTTAAAGTGGACCCATGTTTATAGCCGTTTGATCAAATTTCAATAACACAAATCTCATGATTTGGTGGATTAGGAGGAATGGATCTATTTCCCATTTCTTAAACCACATGAAGGGATCCAGAGAGGATCCCTTCCCATTTCTTAAACCACATGACACCACACCACTATGTTTTGCTAAATCATTAAAGTATTTTGTTACACAATTATTTATAATACCAACTTTCAATTTCGTGTTATAAATGATTTCCGTACATTATTTTTTTTTCTCTGTCTACATTCAGGTTTAGGAGGAGAACCAGAGTGCTAAAGTCACTTTCTTTCCCGTTGGGGCCACGAGAAATTATGCTTGCAACGTGGTTGCGACAGCATGGTTCAATTCAAACTTGGTGTATGTTGGAATAATGCATTCCTTTGTCTGCATTCAAGGTGGAATTCTCCTATATGTAATTTAGATTAGATTTAAATATCGATTGAATAAATCTTACATATAATTTAGATTAGATTCAAATACCGCTTAAATAAGCTTGATGATGCCGATAGTTAAAAGGCCAAGGGAAGATACTTGGAGTAAAAGTTTAACAAACCATACCACTTTTGACATGCTTTGAAGCCTCAAGTGAGTTAACTTTGAAGCAAAAACATAAACCATAACAATGCAAACATATTGATATATACAACATCGTCAACTTCGGCACCATCCTATCCATATTAATCATAACTTAACAACGACTCCAAAGCTTTATCCCATTAAGTAGGGTTGACTGTATAAATCCTAAAACGCTGGTTTCGCACCAAGTTTTCCGTATTAATCTAAACTTTCAATATCCTAAAATTTAAAAGAAACAAAGAAAATCACAAACTTAAAACACAGCAGAGGTTGAAAGTCTTAATTATAATTTACAACCACTGCGACCAAAGAATGATGGATGATATTAGAAACTACTTGTACCTGTACATAGCATGACCTTCTAGCACTGGGAATTATCAAATTAAAAGATTAAACCCCAGGTATCAATCAATAAAACTCGAAAACGACGATGTAAGCATGTAAGGGATGTTCGCGAGAGGACCACGCTGGAGGGCAAGCTCGTGGATGTCCTTGACAATGTCGAACACAGCCTCAGGTTGCGCTAGTTTAAGTGCATTCTCCGACATCATTTTGAGTTCGTCTGTTTTGGTGCTGAACCATTCTGCTACAATCCTTGCTGTTTCCTTGGGACTTCTGGTGAAGACACCAGCCCCATTTTCCACCACATAAGGCACATTGCCCTTTTCCTGTCAATCGAAGTGGAGATGTTAATTGAAATGTTAAAACAAATCGCGCAAGAAGGAAAGAAAATGCGCAATCATCACTCACTTGTCCGGGAATGTAGTCGTTGAGGATAATAGGAAGCCCCCTGATCAATGCTTCTGCTATTGTACCAGGTCCTGCCTTTGTTATGATGCAATCACAAGCTCCCATCCATTTTTCCATTTGTGTCTCAAATCCTCTAACCTGAAAATTCAAAGAATGTAAAATCCTCCATCGAGATCTTGACAAAAACTGCGTCAAAGTTGTCAAGACAACATGTTTTAACAAGCAAGGACAAATTTGTACCTTCACTGGTATGTTCCATTCATCGGAGTCAAGTGTGGCAGCAAGGGTTTTGTTCCTCCCACATATGATGATCAGCTGCCCTATTGGTTTTCCAGCTTCTTTATCAAAGAGTGTTTCTGCGAGAGCCCTTGCAGTTTCCTTTACAGGTCCCATTCCTTCGCCGCCTCCCATGAGCAGAACCGCAGGCAAGTCAGGGTCCATTTCGAGTTCTTCTCTGAGTTGATCCTACGCAACCGCAAATTAGAGGGTGCAAAAAAAGACACAATTAAGAAAATTCAGTAACCAAACACTCAATAGCGACCTTCATTCATACAAACACATTCTCAGATGGGTTGCAAGCATACAACACTACGCACCTTGGAGAGAACCGCGCGGGCAAAAGAGGGTCGGATGGGCAAGCCAAAGACACGTGTTTGAGACTCGTCAAGGCCGTCTACTAGAGCCCTTTTCGCTACCTCCTGTGACGGGCAGTAGCACCTATTGACCCCGGAATGAAACCATGTACGATGGCAGGTGTTGAGGTCAGTGATAACCGTCACAAAAATAACTTTCTTCTGCAGGCCTTGCCATTTGAGCACCCACAGAGGAATGTGTTGCATCAAAGGATGCACACTGATTATAATGTCCGGCTTGTACTCCATTAGACCAGCCTCCACCTCCCTTCAGTTAAAACACTTCACTAATTAGTACTTAATTAGCTAATCAATGTAAAAACGAAGATTAGAATCAGATTCTCCACCAATTAGTTGAAGTCTCTAAAAGTTGATTAGGAGAAAAGCAGATGATTAAGAATCATTTCAAAGAGAAGATAAAAACTTAAAAGCACAAGTAAAAGTTGTAAAATGCTCCTTCAATTGATTACAACTAAATATCATGCTTTTTCGAACCTTAATGGGATTTTTTGTGACTAATTCGGTAGGAGCCCCCGAACACACCTTCTGTAGGGCACCTCTCACAAAAGCCCAACACAAGGGCAACTCTACCGAAGTTTCTCTCCACTTGCAGAATTATTGATGGGGTATTCGTTGAACTGAAAGCGAAAAGCGGAAGGAGGGAAGGGAACATACTTGGCATAGTAGGCGGCTATAGCAGCGAGATAGACTCTGTGGATCCATCGAGGAGAGGTGCTGTGAAATGCAACCTTCCACAGCTGCACATGTTTCACCATGAATTTGTACGACCCCTCCATGTCGTTTAACGGCCAACCTGTGTACTCTTTCCACACATCCTTCACAAATATCTGAAACATCGAATAAATGACTCATGAATAATTGCAGGAACAGTGAATATGGAAAGATCAATAAAAATGTTCTCTTTCTCTCTCTATATGTATGCAGATATTTCCAAGTAGAAAAAGGCAAAAA